CATATGAGGCAACAGACGATGTCGGGGCGCCATTCCCCTTGCGCACTGGTATGATAAAAGCCAGTTTCCACTGGTGGGGAACCGAGCCAGCTTGCAGAAAGTTCGTAAAAAGCCGTGCAACGACTGTACTGAGACGTTCAGAGCCGGCTTTTAACAAGATAGGATGCACTCCATCCGGGCCTGCACTTGCAGGTTAAAGGAAATTTCGGTGCTTATTTTTTGGTCTATATATGTGTTAATAAAAAGCAGTATCACATGGGACACACCAATATCTTGTTAAAATAGACATGAAAAGGAATTTTAAAACGAATTAAGCGAGCACCTGGTGGATGTCGCTAACGCCTTGTTTGTAATGCACCCGTCTAGGAAGCTTGACAGGTAGTGAGGAGAGGGGAAGGAGGAACTCCCCTCTCCCCGAGAATTTCTTTTGTGTGTCCCAGAAGTCGTTATTGTCCCTCTACAAGATTATAGAAGATTAACCCGTCACTCAAAATTCGTACAAAAGCAGCCGCTTCGGTGGCTGGAACGACTAGCATATCCTCTCGACATCAGCCTCGCCGCAGCTTTGCTCGTCGCGAGACGAACTACGTCACGAGTGCGTCGGATGTCACGTGTTCTCCGCTGGCTGCTCTCCAAGAGCTTGCCAGAGTGGGCCGTTTACAACGAAAACCACAGCCACCATGACTCAAAATACAAATGTGCGATTGTAATTTGCGGATATTGTGCATGATATTCAACCTATTTTTGAACACGACGGGTATATTTTAAATTTCGTTGAAGTATTCCTTTAAATTATGGCATATTGAATTATTTTTGGGGGAGCTTGATAATAATCTCTTTGTTTCAAATAAATAAATAAATGGTTTGATGTAGCTGGTTCGCGATATGGCCCTGTTAATGCATTTCTCCGCCTGGCCAGAGCAAATTAAATAAAAGCCGTGTTACGAAAAAAAAAATTGCGAAAATTAAGTTGGTGAGTGAGATGGTGTGAAAGCTGCTCATAGTTTTGTAACGGGCTTATAACGCCAGGTTACGACACCTTCAAATAATAAACCGCGTCAAGTATATATTTTAGAAACCCGAGACAGAACCCTTATATAAAGGGTTCTCCGCAATAAAATGTTAGCTGTGTTTGAGGCGTACTCCTCTCTGTTTGTGTAAACTTTCTTTTCCTGTCCGGTTTGAGTTCTCGGCGCCTGGTTTCGGTTCTATCTTAAAATGTTGCATCTTAAATTAAAGTTGTGACTACGCTCGGTGTTTAATGTTTGTAAATATCGAAAAAAAGATGGCCATATAAATCGCCTGATTTTGAGTTGATCAACAAACTTATAAACACCATCCGAGAAACAATACATTCAATACATTCTGCCATTCCGCACCGCAAACGAAGGCCGTGCAGCCGCATCGACACCGACGTCAGTGCCACCATTACTGTTTTCGTTTGCGACCGTCGCCACCGTCGCTGCTACGTTTTTGGTTAATCTGCGTCGCCTGGAAGAGAGACAGCGGCGCCCTAACTGAGGTCCGCACGTCGACGTTCTCGCCCCCTGAGTCCACGAAACCCACAGCGACCATGTACTGCCTACAGTGGCTCATCCCCGTGCTGCTCATTCCCAAGCCCATGAACCTCGCGTTGGTCCAGAATCACGTGATGTTCATGGTCCTCTACCTGATGGGTTTCTTCTTGGAGCGGAAGCCGTGCACCATTTGCAGCCTGGTGTTCCTCGCCGCTGTGTTTCTCATCTGCTACAGCGGCATGGGAAACTGCATCTTCTCCCTGTTCGTCAACTGCAACTCGGTGACCTGCGAGCCTGGCACGTAGAAGCAAGACAACAACAACAACAAAGAAGCGAACCAACAACTAGACAAGGAGCCGTCATGACAGAATGGACCTGCGATCAGACTCCGCGATCGGACTTCCTGTCGTGTAAAGTTGGGACGTGACAAGAGAAAAAAGGAAAAAAACAAAAACAACGCGTCTTCCCCGTGCTCCAAGACCCCGTCTTTTTGTACCTTTGCGGCGCTATCGTTTCGCTAACATGTCTCCCTCCTCCCTCCCTCCCGTTTCATTTTTCGCACCGCGTTTTATCCAGGTGTATCGATTCTTTTTTTTTTCCTTCCTCAATTGTCTTCTGTATTGCACTTTTTCTATTCCGGATAGCAATGCAGACGTAGCAAGCCGCCGTTGTGACTACGGCGATTAAGCAATTCGCATCAATTTGTAAGAAAAGGGTTCCGAGGAAAACAAGCTAATAAATGTTGAGAGGAAACCTAGATGGATGTCACTTGGCAAGTTTAGCGACCTAGCTCGCGGCCAATGGTCCCTTGGACGCTGGGGTTGCTTGTAAAACTTCCTAAGAATCACAATACTCTTTTGTATTTTTATTTGTCAAAACGTGTTAACTTAAGTGAGTAATAATAACAATAATTTTATTTGCACATACTGCAATGGGCACATGTGGTGGTGTGGGGGGCTAGGCATATAGGTGAAAAAGTTTGTAAACAAATCGCGGTTGTTTTTGTTTGTAGTATCGTGGAACTATGACGTGTGCAGTAACAACTTGTGGCTCCTCCATCACTCTGAGCAGAAATGCAAGTTGAAACAATGGTAAGCTTACTCTCTTTTTCCAGGGGTTAGAGGTTTAACACTGTGTGTGATGTGGGACTTGTCGGCAACTGACTTCATGAGCAAGGGACTCGCTGAAAGAAGTTTGCAAATATGCATACCTAGACCAATGGCATTGCAACAGTGTAGAAACACTGCACTGCAAACTTTCCCGATAACTATATTTCCTGTATACACTGCCTTGGAACTCCATAGTTTTCTAATCTGTTCATATTTATGTTCTGTAGCACACATCGCCATGAGAGGATACTGTTTGATAGACCTGGATGCTGCAGTAAGCTTATGACAATGAAACTAATTCACACCTCATCTTTTATTTGCAGCTGGTTTAACAGTCACCCAATCGAAAATTTGTTTCTGGGCGGTCTTAGAAAAATTTATAAACTACGAAGATTGACATTGGAGACCATTTGTCTCGAAACCAGGGTTTCATTAACCACGTCGTCCTTCAGTTTCACGACATCTTCCAGGCTGGCGATTCACCTTACCGTGTAAACATAATGCGGACAACCAATTTGGCCGCCCCTCGCAGATTTAGCTTGGAAGCTCGCTGCAGTCGCAAACGCTGCATTTCAAATTCTTGAGGCGCAGCTTTCACCAGGGTTTCACTTCGCCGTTAGAAAAATTCACATACATTAGCTAGGCCTGCTTGTAAACTTTCTATCATCTCGCTAAAATGTTGAGACGTACAAACGCTCGGCTCGCAACGCAAGTGAGGTCTAGGCAAATCATTCTTGCGGCCAGAGGCGTGGGAACCCAACATGGGACAATTTGTTTTCCATGTCAATGTTCATCCAAAGCTTTGCAAGTAGATGAAGTATTTGTCGGCGTCGTATCATAGGGCCGTACCTGCACTGGTACGCATTCTGAATCTTCGGAATTCCTGCAATTACTGCTTCTTGCCGTTCACGGAATTGCAGGGCGAGTTTTTCCGCCGTCCGGTCTCCATCCCACGCTTCACGCCTTCCCCCGCGCTTCGGCTGCTCGTGCACGCTGAGGTGTACAATGAGCCCAAGCATTGTCGGAGGTAGAAAGCTCATGCTGGAGGCAGCACATCTGAAGTTACCCCCTGCCTTTCTTGCCTTCTCGGTGACTTGGTGCCCATAAACTGAGTTGGTGTCCACTGTGGCTCCCGTGTAGCTTTTTAGCTTAACCACAACGTCACAAACTGTTGCCAACTGTTGCTTCCGCTGTGGCTGAGGTGCAAAATTATTTTTGGCCTTGTTGCATAGATCCTTCCAATCCCTCAGTTTTCTAATCTCGCATTCTACGGCCAAGCTTCTTTCCTTGCCCAAATGCTTCGGGTCTGGGGAAAATGGGAAAGGTTTTCTTTTTTGGTTCTGCGCCGGCCCAGTTCCCAAACTTGGTATGCGGAATCATTTCATGATTTCTTAAAAAAAATAATATGTGAATGGTGATGCTCGATTTTTCTCTGCACGGACTTGCCGTGGTATCTCGAGAGACGCCTCACCCCGAAAGGTAGCCCACCCATATTTTTGGCATGGTTTTCTGCTTCTTCAAAATGACTAAAAGGTAGCCCACTTCTAGTAATGGCAGGGCCCTGGCCAACGGGGACCTCAGTAGAAAAGGTGTTCCTTAGCCACGGCGGGGGATGAGCGTACGTTGCAGACTGGGAACTACAATCGAATTCGGTTCATCGCAAGTCTCTCAGTTCACAGAACGTAGAACTTGAACTTTCCAACTTTTTTTAATATTGTGCACCGAAAGTTAGTTTGCTATAAATATAATTCAATTAAATGCAAAGGTGCAAGCGAGCTGGACAAGAATGAAGAAAACAATCCCTGGAGAAGGGGAACAAGGAAGACAAAGGACTCCTTATTTTCACCGGATTTGCTTTTGATTTTAGGTGGGCTGTCTCTTGGGATATTACGGTAGACCCCTGTATCCCGCAAAAGATTATTCTGCGAAATGTTCTTATGATAATCCAACGTTCACGCTGCAGGGCAATGCAAAACTGATGCTTCCTGTCTTCATGGTTCTGAGAAGATAATGAACGATGGCATTGCATGTAAAGAAACACTGTCATGAAATTTTGTGTGGCTGTAAGGCACAACGTTTCTCAGTTGTGTCTTATAACTCTAGTCATGAACCACGTGCCTTTGTAAATGCATTTCTGAGGTCGGGCAGAGAACAAGGAACATGACTTGACCTATCAATATTGCTTCGAGGAAAACGGTCCCTTACCAGTTTCTTCTGTCTACACAGAGACAGATCAAGCTCACCTCCATACAGGTCAGCTCCCAGAGCCCTGATAAATCTGCAGCCGCTGCATCTGCCTGCATGTCCTCGAGGACGACGACATTGCGGGCAAGGTACACGGAGAGTCCCAGGCAATGCACACGTGCCACGTAAGAAAAACCATCGTAAGGAACATTTATTAACATCTCTTCTTGTTGGATTCTCAGTATGCGAGGGGGTTACGTCCGTCTCTCTGCAACGTCAGTGCTCGCTTGCAAAAAAATGTTTTTCCAGGAAAGTTGCAATATTGCAAAGGACCTAAGTTTCTGTCGTTTCTCTCTCGGTGGAGGTTCGTACGCATTCGGCGAACAGAAAAAAAAAAATGGTGCGCAACAATCAAACTGAGGGCATTCTTTACGTCTCTTTCTCTCGGTGTTTGTGTCTTTGTAGCGAGGGGACGTCTTTAATCGCACAGGGCGCGTTTTGAGAACACCCCAGGCCTGCGGCACGAGGCCGCCTCAGACCGAGAGCATTGTGGAGTGCCGAAAGTTGTTTGTACGAGATTGACATTTTGCCCTGGCCGGCAACAGGCATCTCGTTTGTGTCGATGCGAAAGGTGGCTGCAAGTAAAAAGACTGCGTGCTCGGGAGGGCGCATCTAATTCGCGCATGCACATCACCCTTCTGCCGTTGAGAATAGCATGAGGCTGCCGGTGATGAAACAAACAGTGAGGTGGCTAAACACAAATGTAAGGAATGAGAGTGTCAAGAGAAGAGAAAAGCAGGCTCGTACGCCGTCACGTCCGCACATGTGGTTTGGTCCGCCTATTCTTAGTTGATTGAGAAACATAATTGTTCCGGGGAGTTCTAGACCTTGTGCCGGTGGCCGTAGAGGAATAAGCGAGGCCTCCGAATGCCTGTTCGGCAAGTCTGCTTTCAGTAGTCGTAAAACGTTAGAATAAAGATGCAGACTAAACTAGCTTGTAAAACTCGGGCAAAAAAAAAAAAAAATTCCTGTCACCAGGTGTTGTAACATTGGGAATGTTGAATCCAGGTAGGAACCGTTAGCGATTCGCTAAAGAGAAGCCTACGCTATTACTTTTATTACGATCAAAACACTTGTCTCTACTTGAGTAACATTTGTGCGTAGAGGACTGAAGTACCTAGGTGCATTTATGAGACGAAAGCAGGTGTGGCTGGCGCAAGCGTGGTGCCTGTGTCGCGCGTCTCATTGATATGCGTAACTGACACCTACGTTGCACAGAGACGAAGACAGAAGTGAGTGATTGCACTTTGGATTGCACCACAGCCGGGCAAGAAAGCATTAACAATGAACACTGCCCGCATTGCACCCTACTTTCACTGAAGCGTGCATTTGAAAAACAGTTCTCTTTCAGCGTGCCTCTAATGGTTCCTACCACCGTAACGAGAAGGGAATTCAGTTTATAAATGCCCCGGTGCACCTACTAGAACGATCTGATGCCAATCACAACGTTACTTTTGTCATGTGTTGTTGCTTAGAAACACAGGGTTTTGTATTGTCCCATCATCCATCATCTGGTGGAAATAGTTTCAAAGGATGCATGCCAAGCTAATGTTGCTGTGCGTCAAAATAGACGAAAGTTTCAAGCACATTAGAGCTCGCACATTTAGATGACTCGAATGCATGTTGATTAGGAATATAATCTGAACAGCTACTTTCCCACACAGCATGTGGAGGGCCAATAATTTCTGATCTGTGCGAGGTGTCCAGTGAACGATAAGGCAGTGATAATATTTCTGAATGAAGATGCCATTCTCTTTGCTACACTGTGTACGAAATTTGTGCACCCAAGAACCAGGGCAGGTTAAATTTGTGAGAGGGCACATTCTCTGGGGTTTGTCATTCTTCCCTAGATTGCAATGATTGACTCACCGCATGCACAATGACAAGGTAGACCTGTGGCCTTGCCTACAAATGGTGTGTGTGAATCGAACGCAGCAGAACAAATTTCTTTCTTTTTCCATGTTTGCTGTACCCCTAGCGTGATGTTGCAAGAATACTGAACGGTATTCCTTTAGTAACATACTGTGGCTTGGAACCATATGTTGATAGGAATGAAGCAGCCATGCCATGAGGAGCTATAAAAAAGCTTGTTCTTCGCAATCAGGTGAAGGCGCTACTTTTCCCGACACCACTTCAACAGTGCTGTAACAAATGTCACGCTTTTATACACCTGACAATGAGGCAAGGAAGTTGCCTTTCTTGGCCTGATAGATTGGGTGTTTTTTTGAAAATGAGTGAATTGCAACTTTCGGTTCCTCACAGTGGGTATTTCCGAGCCGCCCAGATAAACTAATGCAAGCTTTGATATTGCACACCTGTTTAAGTGAGCTTGCATTTGCACAAAACCTTCAGGCACATATGTCCTTGCTTTCCATTCCCCGGTAGGCTAAATTTCTCATCACCATAGCCAAGAAATAAATGGCTTGGTTCGGTCACACGAAAAAGTTCACATAATAACCTCTGCCGTGCCGTTTACATTCCAGCACAAGACAGCGAAACTGTTGTCCTTAATGTGCCCATAGGAGCTGAGAATTCCAATCACTGATGCCGTTGAACAGATGCCGTGACTTTGGCAGTTGGTGGCTGTGTCACATTTTTCGCGCTACTTCTTTTGATGGCTTAGGGGAGAAAGCACATTAAAAACACACAAACAAGTAAGTAGAAAATTTGAAATGTCCAGCAGCCAGTGACATCATATTATTTCTGAAGGATGTAGATGTCTACAGAAAGCTTTTTTTAGGGGCAGCTATTACGCTTCATCCACAAGACATTGTGAGAAACTTTTGTGCACAGCCCTCGATCTGCGAGCTCTGAAGCCTCGTCACAATTTATCTAGGAAGAAAAACAAATGAGGTAAAGTTTGATCAACTCAGCATTTTTATGCTCCGAATCCATTATTCGACCGATTTGCTCGTCCCAATGGCTTGGCTGGCAGACAATGGACACTAGAAAAAATGAAACTTTGCTACACAAAATTTTCTTGCCTTAGCACGGGTTAATCTCACAATCGCATGTGGGATGTGCCACAACAAGAGCTGTCCTCGTCACTTCTAAATTTCGGCCATGCTAGTACGCGAGCGCTGCAACGGCTGTTTGTTTCCTCCCCGGCAGCCTGCGGGGGTCAAAGTTGCCGGAAAGTTTGTCTTTTGCTCGTTTCGTGAGACGGGGAGGCAGAGATTTCGGCGAGTGTGCGGAATGTGTTTTGTTTGATTTTTTTTTTGCGGTTGTGTCACTTGCATGCCGTGGACCTAAGCTTAGCAGCGGATGAACGGCCTGGTGGAGACACGGAAAACGTAACAATAACTATAAAAGGATGCTCCTTATGAGGGAGGAAAGGGAGAGGAGTCCTAGCACCCGTCAAAAAAAAAAAGAAAAGAACAGATGCAAGTCCTCGAGAATGCGGCGAACAGTTTCTCGCCGCTGTGGATCCTTTCCTCTCTTCTCCGACAATGGAGACAAGCTCGGTGGAAAGAGAAGATGGTTTGAGAAAAGAAAACGAGAAACGAAGAAAAATGCGTTCCTCTCCCGTGAATGAGCACTACTGCCGGATTCCCTAGCGGTTGCTGCCGGCAGGGAGGAGAGGTAGGTGTAAGTACATTGTCGCAAAAGGCGGACCCAGGGAACGACGTGCTACGCAGCGGGGGCCGTCGACGTGCGCACAGGTTGCACCGAACCGCTCGTGATCGTGGCACGCGTGGGAGTCTGCAGTTCAACGACGCGAGTTTCTGGGACGACACATCACGCCGCGGCGGTCCGTCTTGCGTACCGGCCATGAGCTGGAGGCGTCTGTGAGCACCCCTCACAAAGTTCACAACCGTTTGGGGAGTTGTCACCGCATATTTGTTCGGAGCGCTGCTTTCGTTTCTTCTTTCTTGTTACTGCTGCTGCTTGGTCACTCCGGTGTGGTCTGCTTCTTTTTCTCGCCGCTGTGACATGAAGAACGGACGAGACGACGGAGCCGCCTCGTAAAGAGAGGCAGCGCCGACTGTCTGCGTCGCCCGCCCTGTTGTGCTTGTCTACGAGGCTGAGCGAGTTTCGACGTGTGCCGTCCTTCTCTCAAGGGAGAAAAAAGTGTCGTATGCCTACGGCGAGGGTGGCATGCCCGCGACTCGTCGTGACGAGGTCGTTCTCGAGAAGCTCTTGCTTCGGCGTCGACGGCAGCTCTTGCATGACACATCTTCCGGTCGCAACCTGGAGCGGCGTAGGTGCCGAAGCGACAGCCACGTGAAAAAATCTGCGGTGTTTCGTACACTGCTGTGACGAACCTAATGGTAAGGATGACGAAAACGCTAAGGCAACGTAAGCTCCGAAAGGATGGGCACCGGTGATCTAGCTTTGCAGTCGCACGAGCCTACGGGTGCACTCCACACGAAGGGAGGGGGGAACATTTAAATGCACAGATGGTACAGTCCTCTGTGGGATGAAAAGAAAATACCCCACAAAGGCCCCGGAAACCGAGCGAAAATGACGCGCCATCGAGAAAAAACACCACCGCACAGACACACCGGACGACGACAGACTTGTCCCATCAAAACCACGGCGCAACACAGGGGCAGCCTATTCCTTCACCTAAACCGAGGTTACCAACATAACCAACCGAGGAGCGAAAGGCTGGGGGGTGGGGACGGCCTACACAGACACGCGCGTTCCCTGGGAGCACTGAGCTGGCAGGTCTATGTGCACATAAAACTGCGCCATTGTTTGAAACTGCCGAGCTTACGAGAAAAAGGAGGGTGGGAAAGGAAAAGAAAATGGGGGAAGAGCAACAACCCCCCGGGAGCCGGGAGCGTCCTTCGCGCGTCACCGGGATCTGTTGCCGGCCTTGCAAATGATATGCACTTGTGGAAACGACTCTGAGAACGGGGCCAGCGGAGTCGGGGAGGGGGCCCAACCCCGGGGGCCGGGGAATGCGGATGCCGTTATTGCTGGCGGAACGAAAAACGAAGACTGGGGGCAGGGGGGGAAGGGCGCAGAGTCCTTGGGTGTCTCAATGTGAGAAGAAAGGGGGGGGGGGGACGGGCGGGGGAGACTAGTGTGTCAGGTACGCATCGGTGGTCGCCGCGAGCCTTGCGGGGCCTCGGGGCGGCGGGTCTCAGGTGGCGGCAACGCGTCATTGAGCTTGTTGAGCCTTGGAGGAGGTCAGGCGGCGCTGCCCTTGCGTGACGGGGAAGGCAGCTGGGCGAGCTTGCGGAACAGCGGGGAGTTGACGAACCGCGGGTAAGAGTCCCGGTGCATGAGCGTGTAGATCTGGAGCTGGGCCTCGTCGAACGTGTGCGGCGTGGGCTCGACCATGTTGCGGTTGATGATCTCGCGCACCCGGGAGTCCAGGCTCACCTGCGAGCAACGTCATCGCTGTGAAGGAGGTCGGCACAGCACCATATCGCTTTGTCAAAATGTTGAGTTTGACATGTAGCTGAAGCGTCGTTACAACTTTGTAAAGTGTGATAACATCAACACAATGTCACAATTGACATTATGACGATAGTCACTATAGGTTGTATTCCCTAAAGTCACTGAAACCTGGGAAGGTAGTGCCATTACCTTCTCTGCCCACAAGTTGGACACAAACAGATACTAACATATAGACGACCGAACCTCGCAAGGCGGTTGGATAATCGGTCTTAGTTGCCATGGCAATCGCCATTTCGGTCCACTGAAATCTTCGAAGCTTCGAAAGGGTTATCCTTAACCAGTCGTGCCAAGATCGCTATGGAGCATCATCATACTGAGAGCATTCCTCGCCAATATAACCATATTTGGCACCGTGCATGCGATCCACCTATTCAACAGATCTCTTACAATGGTATTTTTGCTCTTGTGTATTTGAACACAGGAAATTTATTTTTCAATGTTGTCAAGCACCAACGCGACATGTGGTAGCAGTGTGAAGATGTGCGCTTGTTTCGCCGTTGTGCAGATAACAAAATCTCGGTATTCAAGAAATGTCTTTATAGAGCAATCTGTTACCGGAAATTAGGATCGGCTCACCAAGGATGGTAAGCTGATCTGCTCATTCCACGAACCAAAATGGCAACCGCAACCATACGGGGAGCTTGGCACTACTTTCCCACGATCCAATGACATTAGTATTCATTGGGCACCATATTTGAGGGTGGTGTTTTTAGCGCATACTCAGGGCAAGTCCCCACTTATCTTTACTGAAGAATTATGATCTTGGTGGTGCACAATGTACGTTGCAGAAGCATTGTGTAAGCTCATCGTTAGCTTGCGCTCGGCAGCGACGGATTTAACTGTGACCGCCAGTGCACACTAGGTACCTATAGTAGTTATGACATTGTTGTGACTACTGGCCTCTGACCCCATTCAGATCTCAACATTGTCGTTACGGTAGTGTTGGCACAGGTTATATTATGGGGTAACATGGTCATAATGTCAGGATTAGCAGTGCTTCTTGCAATGCCAAGTCTGGCATGTAGCTAAAATATCAGTGCCACTTTGTAAAGTGCAATAACATTGTCTCAATGTCCTATGGTTGGCACTGTGAAAATACTCAAAATATAGTTGTCCTGATGTTGTCATGACTAGCTGCTGACCTCCCAACTCCGATCAGATGTCAACATTATCACTGTGGTAGGGGTGGCGCAGAATATATGATGTGATAACGTGGTCATAAGGTCAGGATTCATAGTGCTTCATACAATGCACTATATTCTGCTTCATCTACCACTGTGGTGGAGGCAACAAGAACAAGCAACAAGCTTTCAGCGTCCCTGTCAAGCACATGTGCTCTTGCATTATATGCATCGATCAGGGCAACGCCGTGCTTGTAGCTTCGGCTTGACTTGCACATGAAGTGAAACAAACTTTGGTGTTGTCAAAATGTTTGAAGCTTATATAACTATAACTCAAGAGTTCATCATCCTTCGTAGAACACGGTGAAAGAGCCTACATGAATCGTAAGTTCCTTTGTACAGTGTACCAACAATACAACATTAATGTGTTCCTTGATGACAACATTAACATGGTGGGAGAAGTCATTACCAGCTGGAGGTCAAAAATTCTTCGTACAGCACACTAACATTGTCACCGGGCGCCGGGAAGGTAACTATGAGATGTCAAGCTGGGAATTGTGCTTACGTCACAAAGAATACCGGATTCTGACTATTACAAGTTGGCAGAACTCAGTGACTCTAATTCTTACTCAATCACAACGTTGGCACAATGTGCAACATCGTTACAAATGAAAGGGTTTGTTCAGCATACCAACATTTTCACCTTATCAGGAGCTGATGCAACCCAGATGTGAGGCCTGAGATCTGAGTTGATGCAACCTAGATTTGAATTGAAGCCTGACATCTGGGTAGCATCATCTCCTGATATGGTGGCTGTTGCTCAATAATAATGTCAGCATGACATCACAAGTTGTTGCTGTACTTGCTGTTCTTTTTGTAAGACAAAGGTGCCACAAAGTGAAAACATAAAAGAAGATCCATTTGTTCCTTACCTCATATGGGTGGATTAAAACAAAGGGAAACAGGGAGAATGTTCCTCCGAGCATCTCTTGCAACTTTCTGCTGTAATTTTTTTTTTACACGTTTCTGGTCACAATTTATTACCTTTTATCCATGTGCTGCCCGAAGTGCATACAAACTACAGTTGTATATATTCTACCAGCAAAAATAAGGGATAAGGTCACTGGCATGGTTGAATGGAACTTTGAGGTTGCCCTTCATGAGAAATCAATAACATAAATACAACATGTAAAAATAAGAAAAAGTTACTGCATTTTTTTATTGCAAAAATAAGTATATATATGCATTGCCGAATGCTTTACCCCAATGTATAGCAATGAGCTCTTCGAACCAGGTGCCAAAGTTTCAGAACGAACCGTTCTCTCATTCAAAAATTATGTGATTTTTGCTCCATCGGCCGCCATTTTGGATGGAGCTTTCGAATACATGGAGGCACCAGTTGCCGAAAACAGGCCCCATTTTCTCATTGCAAATTTCAGACAAATCACTTATAACTTTTTATTAAGATAATGGTTAGTTTTGAAACATTGGCATCTGGTTTGGACGGGTAGCGTTACATTTTGGGCGGAGAATGGGCATTCGACGATGCATATTCTATTTTTGTGGTAAAAAAACAACAACACTGTAATCCTTTTTGTGGGTACATTTGGGTAACTTGGTAACTTGGTATAACAACTTTAGCGAGCGATTGAATGATCCAGGAATACGTGGAACACGTCCCAGAGGGATTCTCTCACCTCCTTTGGGGACAGGATGGAAATGTAGTCTTCGTAAATTGCACGGGCCTTCTCCTCGATGATCTCCGGGTTCGACTCCTGCTTGAGGTCCTCGCAAGCCAACCAGAACAGGATGTTTTCCTCACTATATTCACATTTTAAAAAGTCCCTAAACACCTTGCGCCCAGCTGAAATTAGAGGGAGGGAGGGAAAATCAAGGCTTAGGCAATTAAAGGGAATGTTTCATCAGCACAGTGCTCATAATAGTGGGCTTCATTTCATATTTCCAGGACAATGTACATCGCATTTCATTGATTCCAAACTCCAAAGCTTCTCAAAATCTGCTCGTTATATATTGGTTTGCTATAAATAAATTGCGCTATACGTGCCAAAGTTTATCTTTTACTCGGCTCGAGGCAAGGTGGTGAATCAGGTGCTGTTCATTTGTTGTGATACCGCAAGTTGTGAGCAGCAGCTCAAGCTGGGTTCCTAGGAACCCAGGTACCTAGAAACTTAGGTATCAGGAACCTAGGAACCCTAGTGTACCCTTAGGGGGATTCCCTGATCTCTCAAATTTAGTTGGCCATGCCTCCCTCTAAATGAAGTGCTCTTCCTGTTTAGGCAATATTTTAAAAGATGAGACACATTCGTTGACACAGCTATGGTGCAAAACAGATTATAGTATCATCATCATCATTGTTTTGCAAGGTCTGTAGGCTTCTGCACTGCCTTATTGCATATCAATGCCTAGACCTCGAGATAAAAGAATTTGAGGACCCCTGTACTAGTACACCGAGCCTGAGCTCTTGTTGTCAACCTAAGCACTTGCTGACACCACTATTCTTTAACTTGGTTCGCTTTGGCCTTGAGCTGCTTAAATCGCGTTGTCTTTGAATGTGCCATTCGGCCGGTTTTATATTGTGGAGTGCCTGAAGTCTAAGAGCACTGCAGAAAATGGGATTGGAGGGGGAGGGGCCAACTCACCTGAACATTTCATGAGTTTCTCAAAAGAGTCGCCCCACGTACGAATCTCGTCAACGGTGGGGCTGCAAACAACGAAAGAGGCAAATTTACAGACAGAAGGCCAGGGAGACTGGTTCAGACATTTGCATTGACTACTCTGCGCTGCATTGCATTCCACTACAACAGACTGCCCTCAGTTGTCATGGTAACGCTCTTTGTAAGCAGCCGTAAGCGGGTGTAATGCAGCCGGTCATACTCAGATGTCTGAACCGGCCTGAAAAGTTGTTTTGACGACAAGCATAAGCAGCACTTACGGTGGTTCGCCATCCCCGTTTAAAAAGTTATCGCCTGTGGTTAGCCTTTGGTTGTTCTCCCGCGGTGACCTAACGTTGCCGTTGTTGCTTTTGACGGCCAAACTGGAATGGACAAAGGAACAACGGGCAAAACTTCACTTATTAGTTTTGGGTCAGTTGGTGGGAGCTTTCATAGCGTATAGTATAAGGAAATGCCTCAACCTAGCTTATGTAAAAATTTATACTTTGGAAGACATTATCTACAACAATAAAAAATCATATTTATAAATGAATATTATTCAACGAAAGTTTAAATATTGTTTCATTAGCTTTTTACTTTTATCTGCTCTACATTGTAGAGAAATGTGGGAGGGAGAGATTATAAATTAACTTTGTTTCAAGTTTATAGAGCCGCAGCAGTGCATTCCTTTGCGTTTTTTTTTTTTTTTATTTCTGTGTGGTTTTGACTTGTTCGTAACCATAGTCGGTGACAGGTCAAGTGTAAGGTGGAAACTCCTCCCACCTCTTTCCCCTTTGGCAGAGCGAACGCTGGGGAGGAGGTGACCTCCTCTCCAGCGTTTGCTCTGCTGAAGTTGAAAGAGGTGGGAGGAGCTTCCACCTTCCACTTGACCTGTCACCGACTATATATTTGTGCCATTAGGGTTAGCTAATCATACACTAACAATACCATTTTAATGGCATGATGTGACTGTGACACATGACTGCCGCACTCTAACCAAGTCTGTGCACTTAGCCGTGATGTCAAACTGTATAGATGATACAGTCAATGTAGCAATGGTTGTTCAAATTCATATTTGTTTTCGAGGTCAGTGTGGGGACTGAAATTGCCGAACACCATCAACGTCCGTAGTACAACATGCACTTTAAGCATTGACAACCCATGCGCATGCCTTTGATGAACATCAGCGACACGAGTCGGCATAGCACGACATGTGGTATCGCTTGTTCTGGCGACAAGCTCCGCGTATTTCAGCGCTGCCCGATTTTCTGCAATCTTTTAGTATGCGGAGACAATTACTACCTGGTGTTTCTTTCATCTTATTATTATTAAAGACATTTCCGGAAAGAAAAAATATACTACTGTACGCCTGATATCTATGTAGATCACATATTTATTTTCAATAGAGAAAGTCAGAAACCCTTGACATGGTCTCTTCTTACATATGTGATTCGTGATGTTAACTTGTAAAGGACAGACAAGGGCACATTAACATCCAGTCGTGAACCTCTGCCTTTTTTGTGGAAGTAATGAAATGGACGAGTCAAGTCGAAAAATATTTCGAGCTTTATTGTCATGCTTATAGAATGGGGAAATTGGCTTACCTTGAAAGCTTGACAGGTTTCTGTAAGCTTGCGTAGACTGGCCTGGATCCTCGCCTGAAGGGAAGAAAAACTGTTCACCAACGTTGCATGGACTTCGCTCAATACTACGTGGGTGGTCTAAATCGGAGATTTTATGCCAAAGGCTGTCTTCAGGTTAGGCATTCTTTTGCAATATTCCAAGTATCATAAAGGTAGATTATGTCTGAGGCATCAAAGCGGCATCGTATTTGTCTACGAATAAAATTGCAACACTAAAATGACGAACCTAAAAAATGAAAGCCGTTTACAACTCCCTGTAACCCCTAATTAGAGCGCAGCTCTTGAGGAGGAGGAAGGAAGGGTACTGAGGGTCACGTGTTCTGGAGGGGGGGTCACGTGACCTTGGTGGGGTCACGTGACCCGAGGGTGTCACGTGACCCCCCAGAAAAAGTTTCCGCTAGATTTAGCGGGAAAAGTTTTCCGCTAGTTTTAGCGGGGAAATTTTTCCGCTAGATTTAGTGGGGAAGTTTTTCCGCTAGATTAAGCGGGGAAATTTTTCCGCTAGCTTTAGTGGCTAGATTTAGCGGGGAAAATTTTCCGCTAAATGTAGCGGGGAAATTTACCCATAATGCACCGCGCGGTTACGCCGACGGCGACGCCGCTCAAGCCGGAAACGGGCGCCTAAGAGCTGCGTTCTAAAACAGCGGTAAAAGACTGGTCACAAAAAAAAGAAAAAAAAAAAACGCGATAGACAGAATGCTGTCGTGACTTCGGCTCTCCGCGACTACAACTTCAGTTATAGCCTACTCTTGAGTGCTGAGAACTCAGGTCAACGGAGGTTTAAGAAAACACTACTTCGAAACGTTCAACGTCTCAAAATCGAGGTTAGTATCGGAATCGCTTCTAGCTTGCAATGGTGTCTCGGACAGTGTTTGAAAGTACTTCAAGTACGTTGTACTTAAAGTACTACTTCAAATAGGTCTTGGAAAACTTGCACTTGAAGTACATTATCTGAGTATGTACTTTCTTTAAAGTATTTTTTTTCTGGTACTTTCCGAAGATAGTATATCTCCCGACTTCAAAGCACATTCCTCAAATTTGGTAGTGTTAAATTTGTATCGCAAGATCATGCTTTGTCGTCTCTGAAGAAACACTGAGAGGAATATATTCTACTTTCACCAGAAACGCGAGCAGACGGCGCATCGCTCTTTTTGTATGGGGAGCGGCTCGGTGATATTAAGCTCTTTCAAAGAAGCGACCTTGGCTTTCCCAGTGCTATACACAAATTCTGATTTCAATTATAAAAGTTCACCAACCAAGTTCACAAAAGCAAAAAAAAAAAAAAAAAGTGGCCTACCGTCACGCGAGAACGCGCTATGGTTTTTAGAAACGTTTTCTGGTCATTTCTTCGAGTGTAGTACTGGCGGTTATAAGATCAACACAAATAAGTGCCTCATAAGTTGATTGCGTAAAACAACCACTCTGGCCACTTCACTCTATCCAATATTTGCTGCCATTTCCGAAAATAACTGATGCACTCCCGATTACCCTTAAGGCCCGTTCACACTCTTGCGACCGACTTCGACCTAAAGAGACCAGACCGGTTTTTAAGCCTTTTGCGACTTAGGACCGGATGCGATGCAGCGGAGCTGGTCCTAAGAAGTCGCGAGAGGCTTAAAAATCGGTCTGGTCTCTCTCGGTCTAACTCGGTCGCAAGAGTGTGAACGGGCCTTTAAGCACTGCGTACCAAATAAAAAAAGAACAAAAAAAAAACTTTGTAGGAGAATTGAAGGACATCAGGAAAGATTGTGTTGGAAAGTACTTGTACCTGACTTCGGAAATACCTTGTATTGCTCTTCACTTCAAGTACATTGCGCCCGGTTTACTTCAAGTATTTTGTATGTGTACTTTACCCAACACTGGTCTCGTGGTGTATTGCACTAATATTGCAGGGAAAATTCATTTTGCGAATTACGTATCTACCGAGGCACTTAAAATACTCGAATGACACCTCAGTTTCACTAAGGCAACGAAAATATCGACGTGTGTTGGCAGAAGCATGGAAAAAGAAATGGTGTATTTTAGTTTGACGGATAAAGCCAGGCGACGCGAATGCGCAGCGTGTTTTGAGTTGCACTTGGTTAGCGTGACACGGACATGGAGTCACGTTACGGCACGTGACATGATGTGAAGTCACGGTGGCACGTGACGCAGTGTCGAGTGATGGCCGTCACACTGGCGATGCCACTTTAACAAAGTCCGCGGAATTTATTGAGCCCGCTAAATTTGGCGGCTGTGTGACGTTTTTTTGTGACAACACGAGTATTTCAGCACTCGTGTTGAAGTACTCGTGTATTTCAGCACTAAACACATACCGTGTTAAAAAAAAATGTTATTCTTATTACTTTTTCTGCGTGTATCACGGGCACTTTCATCATCTTACGTGGTCTCCAGGAGGAAATAATCGAAAATATGCGGGTGAACGAACCGTACTTGATCGAATGAATCAAAGTTTACGAAGCCGCCGAAAGAAAAAAAATCTTTGGCGGAGCCAGGATTTGAACTCTGGGCTTCCCAATATCCGGTCGGGTGTAGTGGTTGGCACACCCGACCGGATATTGGGATGGCCGGAGTTTAAATCCTGGCTCCGCCAAAGATTTTGCATTTCGGCGACTTCGTAAACTTTGATTCATTCGATCAAGTATGGTTTATTCGCCTGCATACTTTTTATTCTTTCTTTTATATATATATTTATTTATTTTCCGGGGAAAAAAAAGGGGGGGGGGGGAGGGTTAGTGTCCCATTCACGGCGTGCTTCGACGAATACCGGCGACACATTCGGGAGTTTTCGTAGATTGTACCCAAATCTTGGATAACGCTACCCGATACTCCGCCGGTGCCTCTGCGCACACATCGTATCGTTATCGGGAACGGTTATCGGAGTTACCGGAACGATCCACTAAAACTGGCTCACCAAGAACAACTGCAGCAGCAGCACCAGCAGAAGCAACACGTCTTGGCCTGCTTGTCCCCGGCGTCCTGCTGGGCCGAGCCCGCGCTGTTGTTGTTGTTCTGCACCACGGGCGAGACCCGGTCCCCCCGCTGCTGCACGTCCCCTTCAGGGACCGCCATCACCTCGCTCCCGTTGCTTGGTCCCGCCCACGAGGGGCTGCGAAGAGGGAACAAAGATACCACTCTTCTAGGGACTTAGGCCGCAATGCTTGATTCGCTACGGCACCAAGGGGGTCCATCAACTCCCTCTAGATGTGATTGTGGCGACACCTCCATGATGTATGTGCCCTTCACTACGCAATCGAAATGTCTTACTGTAGTCTTGCAGGTTACAAAACAAGTCAAGCAACACCCCCCCCCCCCTTCACCCCCCCCCCCCCCAAAAAAAAAAAAAAGATTTGTAGAACGAACGTTGGGGAGGAGGCAAGCGCAAAGTCACCAAGCAATCATTGTGAGCAGAGAGCTTCGTGGGAGGGGCTCATTCTGTCTTTTCCTTAACTTGTAACATGATATAGTTAGTGCACAACGAGCGCTAGGGAGGTATTCACCATGACACGGGTGTCACTTCGCCGCTCCCGTAGGTAGAACATTGAAGTAAAGTGGAAGACTGGGAATACTTCAGTACTCTGCCTACGCGGCGATGGTGCTCAGTGACCCTGTACTGATTTAGGGCGTATCCAAGTTATGGAGATGTCCGACTTGGAAGATTGCACTGTAGATCAGTGGAACAAAGCATATAACGCGAACAAAAGACATAACAGTTATGCTGGTTTCTCAATAAAGATTAAATGAGCATTATAATCATGAATAGGTCACTCTTACACAGTAAAACACTTTACGCTCCCTCAAGAGTGTAAATGAGCTTGTGCCAGGGCTAACACCCTAAGGGTGTTACAGCAACACTGTTTGCGATTTTTGCAACATGTTAAAGATATTCTTTCTTCCTTTTTCTTTTTCAAGAAAAACACGTTTTCGAGCAATAAACACTCCGTGCAGTTTTCACTTGCACGGAAACAATGTAGACTGAATGAATCACGCGCGCTTGAGGAATCACGAATCTGTGGACTGCTCCACCGCCCTATGCGCATACTCGGCAGTTCAAGGACCCCAATTCGCAGTTTGCCGTCTCCGCACTTGCGGAGGTCACAAGTACGTTGCTTTGTTCTCTTTGACATTTCACGTCAAGCATTATATAGATAAGTTCAAGGGCTAGATCTCTAAGTAAAAAGCATCGATAGAGGCAACAACTATTCGACATGGTCGCTAAAACAACCTCCGCTAAAACTGCTTGAAGCAGGCGTCAGTGCGGCGAACCAGAAATGAAGGGTGCTTGTCTCGCTACGGCCGCAGACCAACTTGCCCTATCGTCCAAGTTATTCAATATAGATTACATGATCTCTTAAACTATAGTTACCTGAGCATGTGCTCACGTGATCCATCATATTTAGGTGACCTCCTTATGAAGCGGGCGTCTCTGGGGAGAACCAGAAATGAAGGGTGCTTGTCTCGCTACGCCGCATCACTCTTTCCCGCACCCATTTTTTGTACCCTTCAAAAATGACTGGTGTTCCATGCAACATCACCCTATCTTAACGTTGTAAAAGGTGTACTGAAAGGGTGCCATGAGCGGAAGTCTCTGGAACGCGCGTTTCTACGCCGTCGGTAGCACTGGTCGTACAAAAGACACGGAGTTTCTCTGCAGACATGATGACAGAATTTTGTGCGAACTCTCCCCAAGCATGTTTGCTTCATACGTATGTATGCTTGTCAGATTGTGTTTTGTACGCCCAATCCGGAGCGCAAGTTTGTCTGCTTCTTGAACAGGGGTTGTGATGTTGGCAAAACGCCGAGCTCTTATTGGCTGATTGAAAAAAATAGTGGGTAGACCTCAAGGCATCTAGCATTGAGGTCTTCCCACTATCCTTCCAATGAGAGCCAATCAGGGCTTGGCGTCGTTCTTACGTCACCGCAACTCCTGTGCAAGAAGCAAACGGTTTGCTCTTCGCGTATGGCCGCTAAGACCGTCGTACAAGAAAGAGACTCGCCGTGGATAGTGTCTGCAATGTTTTGTGTGATGTATAAGCAGTGTGGCTGCGGTTTTAAGCCATGGTCAGATTGCTAATATATATATTCGTAAAAAAAGACAGTTCGCAAACACCATATGAGGCGTTTCTGACGGAACTCGAGCACCGACCAGGGCGCCCCTAGTGGCAAACAGATCGGTTTTGTCAAAACTCGGGAAGCATGCTTTCACATTGAGGATGCGTCGGAGATGGTCGCAGCTATCGCGAGCTGCACAACCAATGACTTTTCAGAAGAAAACAAAACAAAAACGTGCTTTTTAGTTCGATGCTGTAGTACAAATAAAAACTCACCCGATGCGAAGTTATACGGATTTGCGGCGAAACCTTACGGAGACTGAGTGCCGCTCGACTTGGGTGCAACGTGAGTAACGTTTTTCCACTGCGTTTTGCACTTCGCGCTTTGCGTTGCGATTTCAGCTGCAGGAGGAATATATAATGACGTTTTTCTAGCGCGGCGACGTCTTGACACCCACGCTAAATTCCAAACGCTTCAGAAATCATTTTGTGTGCAATGGGCCCGTTCAGTAGCCGCTCAATTGACACCAAACGGCGCAACGATCCTGTCACGATCTCGGCGACAAACGAGCATAGCGTCGTGTTTCTCAAGCATAGTGACGCATGCCCGGTACAGCAGTCGATCTCCGAATAAAATGAAACCAGACAACGCCGAACGCGATAGCTTTTATTTGACCCTCTGGACTTTTTGGAACAGTAAATGTATAAACGTCAGCGTCAATTTTCGAAACATCGCGAACCTTTTGCGCACGAGTGAATGAACTGCAATAACAATGACCTATAATGTCTATTGTCAGCAGGTATGGAGCACGGAAACCGCGCCAACAAGCGATCGCCAGTACCTTTTTTCTTTTTGTTTTTAATTCCCTCAAAGGATTGACATCAAAACTGCCGGCATGGTGGAATGCACGAACCCTGGGCAGTGACCTAGTCGATTAAATTGATATTAGTATTAATTAAAAAGTCCCTTAAAAAAAAAGAACTAACAGTCTGGTTGGGACACGCGTGTTAAAAAATTAATTTTACGAGAAAAAAATATTGAGCAATATTGATGGCGCGAGACGCGATTTATACTTAGGCCACACGGGCAACTCGAATACCATTTACAACGAATGACATTCGTGTGATCAACGAATCGGCTCGCGATCTGTCGCGCGTGGAACGCCCCACGCTCGGAGTGTCGCGCGCTGATTGGCCGATCGTTCAGGTGTCATTCGTTGTAAACGACATTCGAGTTGCCCGTGTGGCCCAAGTATTAGTCGGTGGTCACCTCCTTTCCACTTGTTTTCTCTCTCGGCATTTCGGGCGCGTGGAGGAGAGGTGGATCAGCGTCGCCTTTACGTTAAGGTGGAAAGAGCGAAAGACCGAGATGGTTCAATCCGGAATGACCCGCGACGTCATGTACTGCGCGCAGGATTTCAAATAAATCTCTCGGGACATTTGACGGCAATACTATTTTTCTTATTTTATTTCCGAACTTTCTGACAAAATTAATTGGTAAAAGAATAATGTTACTTTAAAGTGCCCGAAAACAACCACGATGCCTTAAGATTGGTGAAATAATTAAGTGGCCCACGATGGGCGATGTATACAGTTACAATGTGCAACGACGCGAACGTCGGCCGACAGCTACGCATTTGGCGAAAACAACTGTCATCCCGCTGTCAAAGTTATTTAGTGCATACACACAAAAAAATTTTTTTTTGTTAGCATTGCTTATTGGAAGATTACCGAGATAACGTTTTTGCTCGCATGTTTTTCACGCTTTATCGTTTTATGCTCACGGGTAATTTTATGTGTTTCGTGCGCCCAGGCGCACTGAGTTTGGTCCGCGCGGAGCCTTACATTATATTTGTGGTCCCGTTCACAGAGCAGCTTTCCCGTTGACAAATGAGTGTCACGACATAAGCTTTCCGGGTTTCTAATTACATCAAATGAAGTCCCAGCGACAACGCCACGTTGTCTGCAACGTAGCTCGCCGGCTTTGCGTGCCGGCAATTCTGCTCCGTCTGCCACTAGGTGGCAGAGAACGATAAGCAACGGAGGCGACACCGGCGGTTCGCTCGCTCCCTATGGCTGCCCTATCATATTGGTCGTACAAAAATCTCTAGTTAAACATGTTGGAAGCCTACATGAAGCAAACATACTCCGAACATGTTTCAGGTGTGTCCGCAAACAAGTCTGTCATCCATGGCTGCAGCGACTTAAGGGGGTTAGGTTTCTAATGCCCTAGTTACACGGACACTTTTAACCGCAGTGAGGTCAGGCTTCACTACGGGGAAGGGCATGCCTGTATAACTAGGCAGTAGCGGCTAAACATACTCGATCGTAACTGCGGTTTAGGATATTCGTGGGGCACCGTTAACCGTAGAGTCACGCTTACCTGTGGTTAGGGGTTTCCCCGTAACTAGGGTATTAGTCTAGGCAAGTTTAGCTGTTGCCCACCTGGTGTCCTGGATGACCGCAATGACGGGCGACGGCGGTGGCGTGGCGGCAGTGATGGTAGTGGTGGTGGTAACTGTGGCGACGACGGCAGGCTGGAGCCGTGGGCTTGGCTCTTCGGTCCGTGAGGAGCCGCCGTTGGAAGCAGCGTGAACCGCGCCGCCATTGGTCGGGCACGCGGAGTCGCCGTTGCCGTCGCCGCCGTTGGGGGAAACGGAGGCCCTTGCTGCGGGGTGCTGGTCGGTGTCTGCACTGCCCCACTGCGTGTTGGACATCTGCGAGAAGCATCGTGCAACAATTGCAATTGTGTTGTGCGTATACGTTTAGTCGGCGGGTAGTTAGTCTGCGGTAGAGTAACTATGTGCTCCGGTTGTGGAGGAGAGTAGCGGAACGGTTTCAGATTTCTGACTCCAAGTATTGCGGGAGAGGCGACCGTCGCTCTTGCAGGAGACGCGACGGGTTTGAAGACATGAGGCGGCGGTTCACCGCGCGTGCATCGTCGTGCACCCCCCCCCCCCCCCCTCCCAAATCCCTCGGAAGTGCACGCGCCCGTGTGCTTCATCGTCGGTTGTTGCGGCGTCTGCTTGTATGCGGCCACTTCGAAACGGTGCTTGCGTTTTAAAAAGAACGCAATTACGCGTGCCTAAGTGGCTCACGCAATGTCCAAAAGTTCAAGAAGCTTCCTGCACATCAGACTTCAGTGTAAGATCCGCATTTCGTAAATGCAGAGCGAAAACTATGTCCCGCCCCAAACCCGGCATTGGGCAAGGGCGCTTCCCTGCGAGCGCGTAGCCAAATCCGGCCCATGTGTCCCCTTCTCCGCCAATGAGGAGTTGGCGGAGATAGGCGATACTCTGGTTTCGCCATTTAGTTACTCTAGTCAGTCCTAGATTTATTAGAGAGTTTTTGTAGATCGTTCCAATACCTCCGCTCGGGATCGGTATATAGCTCTGAATCCCCCCCTCCCACACACACACACCCCCCACACACACATAATGTGAAACATCGCAAAAGGGACAGGACAGAAAGTAGAAGAAAACACAGGACATAACGCTGTCCTGTGTCTTTTGCGCTGTTTCTCATTATGTCCAGCAACCAACCAGCCCAGCTAGGTATCCTGTTACACACACACACACACCCCTGACTCAAGAAGTCGAAATAAAATTATTATTTATTATTATTATTTGCATTTTTTTAAGAATGATTAACACCAGATATTATTATTTTATTCGATTTTGTTTTTGTTTGACTAAATCACCACGACTTACGCCACCCAGCTTTTCTCCACCAAGATTAACAACACTAAGAACATAACTGGTCTCAAGACCTTCTTCAATGGTGACAATGATCGGTTTGCGTGTTTGTGAATTATGTGCAGGTGTGTGTATACGTGCTTTCCCTTGTGTCTACGTTTCTTTTAAGTGTCACAAATGTTATTGGGACTGACTCAAATCTCTTTAGTACGTGGCGTAGTTATTTTCATGAGGCCACTGCAGATTAGGTTCAGCCACACAATATTATTATTATTAATATTATTGATATTATTATTATTATTAGTATTATTATAACTAAAAATTAAGGGCAGCCCATCGTGCCTTCGCCCACCATAACGTGGTGGGCGAAGGCGACGGTGACGGCGACGAGGCGACGTTGATCGTCTGCAAGTTTCCGCAGGCCTCCTCGCTCACTTTTGCCCTTGCCAACACGGCAGCGCAACAGATGCGCACTCGCGACCTATCTGCAAGGCGAAGCGTACGCCGTGAAATCGCAAGAGCTCTCCGTGGGTTCAGTTGCTCCCTCTCTTAAATCTAGGCTCTCTAGAAGACATACATTTCCAGATGATCTTTTAAGATAATGTAAGCAGTAATTTTAATCGGTTAAGTCCTCCGTTAAAAAAAAAAAAGGCACGTAAAAAAAAGAAAGAATCGCGTGAAGTCAACATTTCCATACATAATAAAATCGTAGTAGTCTCGGAATTTGTTTGGCTGTTAAAGCATGCCGGCTGTTTTGGGCGAATGTCTTTGCAGGTTTTTACCCAGAACAGGTATTTATGTGGAACGTAGCATATTCACATAAGTTGTAGTTTTAATGATATTGTTTGCCTTAGGCATTCCGTCAAATACAATGATAGGCCGATAGCATTAATACGTAATTTCTACCCTAAAAAAAGGGGGGGGGGGGAGAGTGTAAGCCCCCCCCCCCCCCCCCCCACACACACACACACACTCCGTGCGGCCCATTGACCGCGCGCGCTATGTCGTCAAATCAACCGCTGCGTTACATTGCTGAAACTCTCCGAATGCCTTGCTGCGCTACGAGCAGGACGAGCAAGTAAGGTCCGTGCAGGGCCCCCGTACAAAGCTATCACATTAAAGATTACACGCAATAGTTCGTTTTCGCCTCACCTATTTGCTTGCAAGCGTCGACAATAGACCTCTCGCAAAATCGAAGCGGTCAGCGGCGTAGTGTCGCGCAAAGCATCTTGGCACCTCTTTGGCACTAGCTACCGTTTTCGACTTTTCCAAACGTCACTCCACGACATCCCGCCACGACCAAAGGCAGTGCTTGAAGTTTCGAACGTCGGACTTCGCTTACATTTATAATACCGCAGGCGTCGCCTACCGATATAGATATGATGCTGGCTTATGGTTTTTTGGGCTCTTGACATGCCAGAGTTTGTGCGCAGATAAACACAGAACTACGATGGCACATGGAAGTATACTGGACCGATCGTCTCGTTTCACCACCTCCTTAATGCCCTAAGCTTCTTAAATGATTCGTGAGCAGGGAGGTTAATGTTGAACTCTGGACGGTATGAAACGCGACCAGTCGTTCTGATACCCCTCGCTAAGTCTAGGCAGGTATACGGTCGTTGGGGGTTCGTGCTTCAACGGGGGCTCTCACGAAGAGGAATGGGTGCAATGCAGGCAAGCTCTCACTTTAGTTTAATGCAGTATTGAGATGCACTTTTCAATGGGGCAATCGAAACCGAAACCATGTCACTCTTCTCCATAGCCAATTAGGTCCCATAATGCAACGCGCGCAATGTCGCGTGCAGAGGGATGTTTGGAAGTAGTCTAGTGTTGTACGAACCCGTAATCTGCACGTTGCAGGTAAAAGGAGGAGTTCAGTTTTGTGTTGCAACAAATCGACGGATATTGCATCAACCAGAGTGTTCGACCCAATCCGAAACGGACCAAATCGTTATTTTTGACCGAACCTGAAAAGAAAACCGAAGTCGAACATTTGATATCGAACCCGAACCGAAACAAAACCGAAAACCGAAGTCGAATGTTTGACATCGAAACCGGACCTTAACCAACCCGCAATCCCGTGTGGCGGTTTCCGGTTCACTAAAAAACGGTTCGGAGATAACTGCTCCGACTTCAAGCGCGGGTTTTATCGAAGGGTCTTACGGTGTGTGCGTCGCGCCTGTTTTTGTCGGCGGCGGCGGCGAGAGGCCAATTTTAACATTCGCAGCTGCAGCAGCTTCAGCGGCGGAGTTTTGTTTAATCGCCCTTACTAATGAACCAATTAAACCACTCAGTTTAAGGCCAAGTCACGTTTTCCCGGTCGTGTCGAAAACGGAGACTACATCGAGACCTTTTTACACACCGTCTCGCTTTGAGGCCGACCGCAGGGTCGGACTTGAAACGCGATCTGTTGGAGACGGAACTGATTTTCGTGATCAAGTCGCGTTCCCTGGCAATGTCGCTTTACCGCAAGCACGGTAACCATGTGGGAAAGTTTGCCTCCCAGTGGCGGCCTGAAGCATCCTGTTCGGCGATCGTAATTTTCTAAGCTGCACGAGCTCTTCCCGTGCTCGTGGTTTTATATTCCTGTGTAAATCATTTGTGTACACGGAAAAAAAAAAAAAACACATTTTCGCGTGAACATTCTGTGCGGAATGAAATCGCGTCTAGGAACTATTTCTTGCGATGAAAATAGAGAAATATGTTCGGACAAAAATAAATCAGGTGGTCGTTGAATGTTCCGCTGAGGTTGACTCGCTTGAAATGGTTGTGCTGCTTTAATTGTCTACAAAACGTTCGTTGTTTTGAATGTTTCGTCGCGTTCGTGCACGTTAGAACCACCTTTTTTTTTATTTTGTTCTATAGCTTAATTGCTTAAATTATCTTTGGAACGATTTAGCAAAGAACGGAACATAAAAAAAAGAAGCAATTTACTTTAGAAGTAAAAAAAAAAAAAAATAGATGGTTTGAGATCTGGGCAAATGGTACAACTTTCGGAACCAGCAATAATCTTTTCTGGTTCTTTTTTTTTTTTTTCAAAATTGGAACGTTGAGAAACGAATAAACAAGAAACAGACGATCGTGACTTCGATCGAAGGTAAGACTTCGACGTGCCTGAATGACGTCACTGCCTGGGTCTGTGACGTCAACGAAATGCCCCGATGACGTCATTATGGACGCAATCCAGGCGCGCCTTCCGGAAAAGCTCGTCTTTTTGTGATGTGATTGCTTTTTGACGACCTCTCTTGAATAGGAAACAAACAAACACGATGGAAAGAGAAGTCTGGTCGTCTTGAGAACTAGGAATATAAAGCGCTTTCTTTTTTTGGCGCCCGTTTTCATTTCCGTGGTCATGAATTACGAGGCTCTATTTTGTTAACAGTAGGTACATGATATCTTCGTTTAATTTAGCCAGATTAGCTAATGATTATAGCGATGGATCGAATCTGCCAGAGTCGGGGGGGGGGGGGGGGGGGGGTTTGCCGAACTTTCGGGAAAAAAGAATTCTGGAGATTCGATCAAATTTCGGCGGACATCAGATCATGCGCAAACGGAACTTCTGCGCGTGCGTTATTAATAACGTGTTAGAAACTCGTCTCCGGCTGGTAGCGTCACAAATGTGTAATGCTAGTGCGCCTAGATTTGAGAGTGGTTCCAGCCGCTTGGTCAGGTCACGTAGTTTATGGCACGCGTTAGCGACGCCAAGTGCACGAGGTGGCGAAAGCGTTGAGCGCTTTCGACATTTTGAACCAGGGTGTCGAACCGAAACTCTTTTCGGTTCAGTTCAGGTTACGGTTCAGATATTTCGGTTCGGTTCAGGTTCAACTCCGGAGCGGAAGAATACAACAGTTCGAACCGGTTTTAACCGGCTCATTTTGGTTCATGTAACGGTTCGAGGAAAAGTGAAAAATTTAACCGAACATTTACACACCTCTACTGCCATAAAGTGGATTGCTGGGGTATAAAATAAGCGCTTTTTTATTTGCTTTTGTGTAATATGTCTGTCTATTGGAATGAGCTGC